TTCAAAGTCACTCCCGTCTCGTGTTGATATTTTATACAAAAATACTCATTAAATCTTTGCCTTTTAAACAGATTGATTTGGCCACATTCATACCTTCAAATTTATAAATTCTTACATAAAAATACACATATACTTTTTTACATCGGAATGTATTCGAAGATAATTCAAATGAGAAACTTATTTTCATAAATATAAACGTGATTTTAGTGAAGCGTTTTGTTTGTATTGTGAGAAAATCAACGCGAAGTTTCAATGATAAAAATTCTTGCTTAATATGTTTCCTTTCCAAAATGCAAACCTCTACAGCTTAAATCCACTTACTCATCTTATCCTTACGAGGTAAGGTAAGAGAGACAATTGAGTCATATATTCAAAAGGCGGACATTTAATAATTTCGGCTGAAACGATTTGAACACTAAATCCTTGCAGCTTACATTGTTAGATGTCCACGTCTGATACTCACAACGCACAGCCATTACACATGTACGAGTATATCGCTTTATTAATGTTTATTCTGTAAATGCTTGCCTTGATTTTGAATGGCGTGTATCGGTTTCTCACGATTTCTACATCCTACTTCAACTTCTATTTCTTACGGGGTAAACAGAGAGGAATTAGTGTCACACGGTACGCTCCTTACGTTTCCTATATATGGTCATTTCCTTTCATAACTCTTTTCACACATTCTCGCCGTTTTTATAACATCATCCAATAACACGCGGTCGATTTGATCATGCAGAGTCTTACTTTACCATTCTTTTATCTGGCAATATTTCCATACGATAAAGCACGCTCCTTGAAGCTTGTTATAATTACTTTATATATTACGTTATTATACAAACGTGAGGCAAAGTTTCATTGGCATTTTTAATGATAAAGTCCAACTTGCGTGTTTCTTTTATTCCTGGTGATTCGTCAGGTTTTTAATACGACCTTGTCTATTCGAGGCACGCCATTGTAATTTTATCCTGACGACTTCATACGCACGAGATAAAACTCCTATACATCACTAGGGTTGTCTCACGGTATCCAGTTATATTACAATATATGAAGTATAAACGGTTTTGTTCGGTCACAGATTCTTCCTACTGCTAAATTTAAATTTGATTAGTATTGAAAGCGATTAACCTGCATCAAGCGTTAACATTTAATTATATATAATTGTGAGTCGACATTCATACGACACATATATGTGTTTGTGTACACAGAGACCGTTAGAGACATGCACATTTTAATGGTAAACTAATGTAAACCACTGTTAAGAAAACCGTGAATTCTATTAGAAACAGTCAGCCCGTGACCACGGCCGGTGTGACCTGGTCGTCGGGAAATATAGGTAGGTGAAACTATCAAAATCTATCGCGTTAATACTCGTCGTATACAATCTAATATAATGCAACTAAACATTTAAAAGTTTATTAATCGTGAATTCATTCAGCAGGTATTTTACTCTACTTATTATATAGGTCTAAACTTTAAAATATACGTGATACACATATCATATTGCAAAGAAATCTATAAAAGTAAAAATACGCATTGCTGCCAGCCCTAGGTCTCTGCTGAACATGAAGCGACGCTGTAACGCGGCCGCGCCGCGACGCCTTGTTTGCTTAATATTTGGGATTGTTCACCATTTTGTGAGTTGTTTGTGTCCTTTAACGTTTCTGGTAGCGCGCGCTCTCGTATTCAAGGATTAAATGCGACACTTATCTAAATACATATACACTTATACGAATAGGCAACAATACAGTTTCACTTTCTCGGTATGCTAAGTAGAATAACTTATGTGCAAAAGGAGAGGTCTCGGTATTCGCATACGAATTCCTCGTTCCCGAATCTAGAATGGTAATGCGAAGGTCGCATTAGCATGGGTCTGAACTCGGCGAATTTGCCTCCAAATATTCTTGGCCTGAAAGTGTTATTTGTAGATCAACGGTAAGGTTCTATTGAATATGTTCAATCCTTAATTATTGTATCCTTTGACCTTTATATGGACGAATTTCTCTATTCGTCAATATGCTTCAAAATATCAAGAATTGCTTTATTAGTCCAGTTTTACTCTAAGTTCGGAATGTCCTAATTGGTGAAAACTTCAATGTTTCCTTGACTATCTGTAATCACATTGAAAACGAGTTGTAGAGATCCTTTTCCCACTCCTAGTCCAGCAATAAGGTACTCCGGCACTTCCAGACCGGTAGTCACACCAGACATCCTATCCATGATGCGAGGAGTCGGCGCTGCCATAGATGCCATCACCAGCAGCAAGAAAATCAAGATGGCCTCTCTCATGTAGCCGGTCCTGTTAAATTATTTCAATTCAGTTAATCATAAAGGTATTAAAGTACAGCAAATTAAATGTTTCACCGGTTTTATATGTGAAAAAATGAAAGTTATGATGTTCAATTCAAAATTGAAATTGGTCACTAGCATAGTTTTTTCGCAATATGTAATACGCAACTCTGAAGCTTTGAAGTCGAGCCGCAAAGTATTTATATCCATAAGTCGCGTGCTGTACTATCAGCTTAAGTAAGTTTACGTATCATATTTATAATCATATAATCTGGAAATATATCAAAAATATGTTTAAATTTATTTTTAAAGAGATTTTCATCACTTCATGTTAAGATTCTTGGTTTATTTTTAAAGGAAACTTTATGGCTGAATATTGCAAAATAAGAGTATAATAATAATCATCATAGGATCACATACTTCTTCCATCCGATTTGAAGAGAGCTTTATTGGCTTTAGGTAAAATAAAGTTTTACACATCAAAGTGACGCAAATATTTGGTTTCGCGGTTACTTCACTCCATCAGTAGGGTATAATTTTCAGTAACTGTAGTAATTTACAAATAAATAAGGTACCAACATTTGTTATACTTGCTTATAAAGTAGTAAAGTGAGGACCTTGTGTGAGATTGAAACACTGGAGAGTGGCATAGATTGCTTTTACATCAAATACTCTTAGTTATTTCCTTTTAAGCAAACAGCGTTGGAAACTGCTAGTAAAAAATGTTTTAATTTGATTTGGTTTGATCCATTGTTCAGCGTTGATTGTTTTACATTAGGCAGGGGCAATTATTAATATTTTAATTACTTACAATTTCGAATCTGTCCCAACTTTGCTTTTTCATCGAAGGCACTGATTGAGAAAGTAATCAAAAGTTAATTTAAGAAATCTAAATTAACTTTTGATTACATAAATTCTCTTACTGATCGATGTAATTAACTTAGGTCTTCGTTTTTTTATTTATTGTAATTAATAAATATAAGTAGGTTTATAGATTCAATTAAAATATATGGATATTTTTATTAATCGTTCATCTCTTGACATTCAAAATTGACAAAACTGTCACGTATACTTTCAGTAAAATTAATTTATTAAGTAAAATTACTTACATGATAACGAGGTGTAATTTTCACAAAACTCTTACTAGTTATAAATATATACTTTGAAATAGATTCACCAGATGTTTCGTACTACACATCTTCTCAACTAATACGAAGATACCTCCACATTTCATAGATTAGGGATATATTTATCTTTGAGATATGAGTGGACATTCTCGATGTTCGATAACAACTCTAAATTGAATGTCATAAGAGTCTTAATCGAATGCTGATCGACATGTGAAAGTGGCAGTGTTGTTACGCTGAAATATTGGAACGCTATATTTGATTAATGTTGTTAAGATAAGATGAAATTGCGAAATGCCTTTCCTCTATATATAAGCAAGCATTTGACCATAATCTTGATGACAAATAAATAGTCTACGATATTATTGTAGCTGTATTTGTAATCCGAAATTGGTATCTAGAATATTAGCATGCATGTAAATTAGTATAGGTATGAAAAACAATTGAACTGTACATTAGAAAATCATAGATATATGGGTTTAATACTCTTACTTATTTTGAACAGAAAGATGATTGTAAAAAAAACTATTTATAAAATATGAAACAATTTTAAGTGTTTCAGGACACACAGTACCTATATTCCTTATTTCATAATACAATATTATACTAATAGTATTTATTTTATTATACAAATGTGGCCTTTGAATCTAATAGAATATTTCAATAACTTTCAAATTAAGACTTGGGAGCTTGCATATGGTTGGTTGTCTTCTACTAAATTTTTTCATTCATACATTTGTTAGATTTGGTTACGTTTGTTTATTTTGTCTTATTATTGTTGATAAATGAAATAACTGTCTCACTTAATACAAAAATTGGTGGGTTGGGTAAAACAAAGGTTTAAAATGATAAACTTTTTGTGCAAATCTTTGGGCACTTTCTAGATTTATAAGATGTGATTTTGCAGCTCCTCCCTAAGTGGCTATGCAGTACGTTAGAATCGATTTACACATAGATACGTAATATTTTGCTATCTGCTACATATTATTACGAATTATTCATCATCCGCTTGCTTTAGATTTTTGATAAGTAGGCCACGTTATTACACAATTCTATTTGAAACGGCATATAGCTCTACGTAAGGGCGTTAAAGATATTTAAAAGGCAATGTTGCATTCTATACAATATTAAGTTGCTTTGTTTTCAAAACGAGGCCACTAAGTAAGCCAATACAATATGACAGCCGCAGAAGCAACAAAGCAATAATTCAAAGTTTGGTTTCTTTTTTTATTTAAATGGTATAAGCAAGTCGTTGGGTATTGGAATTATATTCAAGAGTAACTGGAATTCTATTCCAATGTTTCTAGAACTCTGTGTTCCCCTTATTAAAGTTTTTTTCATTGAATACCGAAGTTAAAAAGTTGTTTAGCTATTATCTTAGATTATATAGTTATATTGAATATCAAATTCACAGTAATTAAAAATATAAACACGTTTACAGCTGAAAGTTTTGATTCCTGCCGGGTGCGATTTTTTATTAAACATATTACCATAGAAGATGATATTATTGGTCCATTAAATAGAAAGTTACTATTTTGTTTGTTTTATACTTTGAAATTAATTTTCTTTTCTATCTTGTTACAGATTATATGGACTCACTATGCAAGGACCACTTCCTTCAGCGGCAGTACAGAAAACTGGACGGCGGTGTTCTCTGGTCTCGCAACGAGCGGAACTTGGACTGCACGGTGACCTTCCAAACGCACAGTATCCTGCAGCGGTTCATGCTGCACTTCGACCTGCTGCAGCTCGATTGCAACGACCACCTGTATGTGTATGATGGCGCACATGCTACAACACCACCTAAGGTTAGTACTGATGGTCTGCTTCTTTTAGTCCATCTATTGTTACTGTATTATTTCTCCTGGCGACAATGCATTTCCAAGTGTTTCTATCAATACTTACTAAGCAACTTAAAATTTTATTTAATTTTGTTATATCATATAGTTAACTTCAAGCTTGCGTTACGTGAAGAAAATTACATCGAATTCTGTAAAATAGTTATTTAGTCCATCGGTTCTTCAAATATCTGCAGTACACGTCTCCAATGAAATGGTTATGAGAAGGTAAAATTGTCCCATTCCAGTAATCAAAGTTATTAATTATACTCTTATTTATATCAAACCTCTATCAATAGATAAAAGAGAATTTTGTATAACAGAATCATTGATTTAGTGAATAGAACCCGGCGGCAAACCAAAAACATCCAATAACTTGAACGGACCAAATATTTATATAGCATCATACTCGTATAAACCTGGATAGTTAACGCATCTAATTTGGAGACATTCCAAATCGTCGTTGGCAGCAATTATCCTGATTCTCAGCGACTCCCTATTATTCCCATTTGTTCCCGATAGCGGGCTCGTGTCGTTGTCCTTCTCTAATTTATTAAGGATGCCTTTGATCGAACATTAATGAGACCTGATGGAATGTCTTCCATTGCTGCATTATCCTTGCTGGCTCTGTTGAGCTCCGCTTCTTATTATATCGAGTTTTGTCTGGTATTTATGACGTAACACTTACACATCCTGCATGGCATACGTTTTGTTTTTTATTCAGTTGCTATTTACTGTCATTTTAATCTTGGTGATTTATTGATTCCAAGTTGTGACTTATAACACCCGATTAAAGAGAAGTACAGAACTCATAAGCGCTATAATGATCTCATTTGATTGATTCTTGTGGAGGTCTAGTAACTTTGGATTGTGAAAATTTACTACCACGTGTTTCTCCGAGCCTGTGGAAGACACATTCAACAATTGCGTGTACTGGGTTAGCAGAAATCAATTCGCAGTGGGTTTGCGTAGTAAATTACAGCCAGTTCGTCCTGTGTTTTTCTTAAGGCAGAAGATCTGTGTTCCAAATTATTAGTCTGACAATAATAATGGTGACAGAAAGAACTATTGATATACTTCTAGTAAATAAAGATTAAGGGTACTTGTACGTATATATATTTTTTACAAATCTATGGTAACATAATTCAATGCGTCAGGTGCTACCTTCCAAATAATTAACACAGCCCACTCTCTAGATTTTAAATTCAAATCTTGAAAGTTTCAGACAATGCGACCCCCGGACAAAGAGCCAAGTTTCAAGTCGCATTGTGGGCCCTCCAGTTGTGGACTTTCGTTTTATTTCTGTAACGCCTCCATTGTTCGGTGTTGTGAGGGCTGTATAAAGGGAACATTCGCTAATTATTTCCAAGCGGTGTTTATTGATGGTGTTGTGAATGTTGCGGAAACGTGAGATTTCAAAGGGACAAGTGAATTTAATTATTTTAGACACACACTGATGATATTTAGGTGAGTAACTTTTCATTAAAAAACCTATTTGATTCTCCTTATTCGATTTGATTCGATTACATCCACAGGGAAGGCATGAGTCCCAGCAGTTGGGACTTTAGTAACCTTGTCAAGGTGTTTTAAAGCAGTATACGATTGATGATGATGAGATAGTTTACTTTATCTTATAAACGAAGATAACTTGCAAAATTTGACCCAATATTACGTAAATACCATCATTATTATCACCATCCTAGTAATGTCCCTACCGCTGGGCCTCAGACTTCCCTATGAATGGGATCCAATCAAATCGAATAAGGAAAATGGGGCATGATATGACGTGGTAGTTGGGTGTTAACAACTGCAGATGCATGCGGGACCAATGGTTAACATACCTGCCGAAGCATGGAGCAACTGGAGATAGTAATTTTTTGGTTACCCATCCTATGACAGGCCCTCGTGAAAGTTGCTTGGCAACTGTATCGCAGACCGAGTGCGTTAACCACTATGGCATCGAGCTCCTCGATATATTTAAAAGCATGAAAAAAGGAAAATACGGTAATGGTAGATAAATTTCAATAAAACAGGGCATCGTGCCAAATGGACACTTGACAATTCGTTAAGTCGCGCATGGAGAAGTTGGATTGTTCCCAGTTCTCTTAAGTTCCCGATCTTCCTTCGGTGCCTGAAGCCATTTGAAATGGAAATTCATAATTGTTACTCAAAATTCCTTGGAAACTTCTCCGTTTTATTGGATATAATATGAGCTTACTGTCAACTCTGCGATAAGTACTTTTTAAGCTTGTTGAATTTGTTGCGGCCAATGTAATCGAACCGGCAGGAATTTTACTTCGGAGACAGAAAATAATATTTATTTCTAACAAAGATCAATACTCGAGATTACTTGGAGTAGCTCTTAGCTGATAACTCGACGTTATGGTATTATTTGTTTATATATAAATATTCGTGGTAGTTTAAAATTCAAAACGCACTAACAAAAATTCAATGTGTAATATGTTTCACCACTTTTCTATACTTTGAGTAATTACGTAAAAATACAGGTAAAATTTGAGAACTTGCATTTTGTGCACAACCGTACTCTATAAAGACAGAAAGCGATGTGTGGACAATTCCCGATAAAAAAACGGTAGTAAATGTAATCGTGAATAAGGTATAAAATTTTAGAGGTCTATGAGTGTGAAAGACGATGTGAAAGGTGAAAATATCTTTTGCGATCAACTCGATCACATGCCGTCGTAACGTATAAGTGTAAGGGCATGTACGACAAGAATTATAAATGTCAAGAAAACAAAAGAGGAACGTAAGAACTTTATGGCACTTGACTCTCTCCCGACCACAGATATGTATGAAGATGTTAAATAATTAATTTAATACTGGTAACAAATGTATAAGTACGTCAATGCACATGTTGTACGCGAGATAACACAGATAAAGTATTCACCAATATATATAAATCTAAAAAAACCACTAGCCTCTCCTCTATTATTTTGTAGATTATAAGAACTTATAGTTATTACCTATTGACGTACATTTTGTCGTTCAAAATTAATTTCCTAAAATGCAACTATAAGAGGTTTAAATTGAAGTTGGAAAAGGTTTGAGTGCTTTAACAGCGTTCCATCCCAAAGTTGTTGTATAACTTAATAATGAAGCGAACGACATGGATGGTGAAGTTTCGGTGTGTGTTGCACTCAGAAGCCCGCGACTCCATTAAGACAAAGGCGAAGTTGGCCACCTGTATGCCGTAAAGTATTGCAACTATCCACGATTCAGTTGACGACAGTTGTGTGTGATGCTTTGCAGCGTGTGGGGATATTAAACCTTACAGACAACTTTGAAGCAGATTAGAATACTATCAGTAAATATTATCGATATTAATAGCCGAGTCACTCGCACGCTGGTTAGATTCTCGCTTTGGTCTACTTCTATTTTTTTTCTATTTCTCTTCATATTAGTACATTATTAAATTATTATTTTAATTTCTAATTTCCGATATCAACGTTTGGATTCTAATTAAAAGCTTTAGCGGAAAATATAACAACGTAAGTTTGTTACAATTATTCTTTAAAAGGATCCTTTTTCCGTATCCTCTAATTATAATATAATCAAAAAATATGTGTTATTTTCTCGGAAATAATCTTAGTTGCGTAATCTGTAAGTCTACATTAGCAATAATTTATTTTCATTGACAATATGAACCGTGTTAAATCGTATTTTGTTTTGCAATTTACGTACATATATCTAGCACAGATATTATATTATTAATATACTAGTCTGTAGTAATGAATTACATTTCTAACCTTACATTATAACCATACATATGCAAGTATGTATTTTCGTTAAATCAGTAATTTGATGCAAAGATCTTAATCAAATAATGCACCACCTGATTTATCGTCATACTGATGATTAAATCGCAATAATTTATAATTCAATGCAAAATCATAATCTCTGAAAATATGTATCTTTTTCAATGCTATTGATAATTAATATTCGTTAATATGTATATCACAGAACATATTTAAACGAAATAAATCAATAAATGCTTTTCAACAGCATTTTTATCCTTACTTTTTAAGAGGTGTTAAGCGAGATTTGCTTAGTTTTAAGTATATTAATTTACTAGTAAAATATTAATATGTGCAAGCACGGAAATTCGAGCGCTTAAGCTTAAATCAGAACACATAAATTAAACAAACGCTTCCCGAAATCGGTTGTACAAATATTTGGTTCAAAGTTTCGGCATCCAGAATGCAGCGCCCGGCGCTGGCGTAAATTGCAAACACCAGGAAGTGCTCTCACTAACATTGTTGAGGAATACACGCGACAAAGTGGTTACTTTGAACCACCTGTATGTGAACTATCGTAAGAATCCGCTTCAGGTTTGAATGTTACCGGCATGTCGTTTGACAACTTGTTGAACTAGTGACACGTTTATACCAAGAGTTTGATGTGAAAAACATTACTGCGTTTTATACCAAGAAACTAAAATTTCAAATTATATAAATTACTTCAGCAATTTCAAATGTCAATTAGATAATAAGCGAAATGTGGATATAGATACACATATACCCAGGGATAACGTCATACGCTATCGTAAGCGAAAACAAAAACAGAAAATGACAAAATCAAAGCCAAAATATTTTTTATTCATATAAATAGGTGATGTTTTCCGTATTTGGAGAAAAACAACAATTTACAAAGTCCACAATTAGTGCAATTATATACAAATCACTTATTAAAAACTCTCCACTTCAATTTTACTGAGTACATTATAGTTAAGAATATTTATAGTTAAAAAAAAAATCTTAATTAACTATCTATTTTACAATAGTTTACAAATAAAGACATATATGTTTTAAATGACTACACATTATTTTTGTTCAAAATGTTTGATGGATGCAATATATCTTTTGGCTGTTATTGTTCATAGATCGATTGCTCAACTTTAAGTATTAGAGCCAGGCTTACTTCAAGTGCTAAAATTATAAGTGCCAGCAGTTAATAAAGATGCGCGGCCCGTGCCAATATCTTATAAGATTTCTTCTTCGATGGCTTTGTTATATTGAAGTATTACAGCGGCGCCTGTGGAATAGTAATTAGCAGCACGTGATCCATGTTACAATTTGTGATGGCTATTTTGTGGAAACAAGCCTATTCGATTTTGTGTTCATCTTTTATTGAGGAAAGTACTTTATGTTTTGTTCAAGTGTTAAGTTTTATTCATAAACTAGCTTTCGCCAGCGGCTTCGCTCGCATAGTCCCTAGGGAAATGTTAAGTGGGATAAAAAGTATCCTATTATCTAAGTCAGCTAATACCCTATCTGTATACCAAATTGCATCAAAATCCGTTCAGTAGTTACGGCGTGATTGACCGACAAACATTCAAACAAAAAATAGGATATTAATAGGATAGTTTATGCTTTTAAAAATTCAGCCTGTTTAGTATTAGCGTTTATTTGTAGAGGTGACCTCTTTAATAAAGCAAACATAAAAAAATACTTGACCTTTCTTTTTGGAATAAAGATTTGTTATATAAATATAATTTTCGTTTTGCGACTAATCTATTTAACAAAATAACAAATATTTTCATATAAAATAAATTTCCTCATTTAAACTTCGGAGTTGAGTTAAGCGACGCGATAATAGTTTGCATAACAAAACCCTTTAATTCTGCAGACTTATCCGCTCGGAATACAGAAGAATTTTTAATATCAACCAGAGCTCGATCTTTATTAAGCCCGGGACAATAAGGTGAGGTGCCTTGGATTGTAGGGGGGTGGTACCAGGGTTGTCGGGCGCGACACTAATATCGAATGCAGTTATTATCACTTAGAATAAGAATCGTAATTCGTTTTATACAACATTGTCGGTTGAATCTACTATTGCTATACGAGTTATCAGAAAGAATACTCCTTTAAAGTTAAAGGAGGTTTTACGAAATACCTTTTTGATTATACTGATAGTTATAAATTCAATATGTACTCAATGTCCAACGTTCTTTACGGCTACTAAATATCGGTCGTTAATATCACCCCACCAGGGACAACCCTGGGGCTCAGACGGGTGTCAGCGTGATCTATGGAGGTGGGGATTCCCCTAAGTCCTGGTCGTCACGTCGCCGCGATCGCTCCCGCTGAATTATGACAGCAATATAATGCTCCCATCGCTCAGTAAGCTCGCTCGATGGAGGAAATATGGCGAGCGCCTGAGCTATCAACGGACGCTTGTAAGCTTGTTTGTTGAGCGGCGCAACATCTATTACATTTCAAATATAATTTTTATGAGGTTTTATTTGGTTCCTCTGAACGCGAATTGTTTCATTTGCCATTTTAATGGTCATTAACATTAGAATGCTTGTGAATTAGTAATGCTACAATGTAAACGGGAATGTTCTTGCAACTTCGCTGATATATCGGGGATTCGATAAATATAAACACAGTAGTAATTCCGTAATAAATAATAATTGTAATGCTTTATTTGACGACTTACGTCGAGTGGCTCGAACACGATGTCGCCAACTGTGACGTCTCGGATACAATTCTAGGTGGTGTCATAGGAAATCAACATTCTATATTACCTTGTTTCCATAATAGCTTTAACTGTTTAAATTGGGATCCGATAAATGCATGTGATGTTGTGTAATACTAAATCGGTGCTTGTTTCAGGCGGATCTGTCATGTCGCAACACCAAGCAGCAGGTGGGCGCCCTGTTCACGCGTAGCAACTTCGTGACCCTGAAATACGTGACCGATAACTGGGGCACCGAGACCAACGGGTTCAAATTAGTCATCACAGCCGTCAAAGACCCCAGTGAGTGCGCTTGATATTACTAAAAATATTAATGGTTTATTTTATGAAATAGAACGTTGGAGGGTACTCAACAGAAAAAAAAATTCAAAAACTTTTCTTTAGATTTTATCGCTTTAAAGAAAATAACGGTCAACGGATTTTTAAGCTCTCAGCTAAAAGTACCAGGGGCAATGTGGATTCTTTAAGCATTTTTCACTAACTATATTTTCCAGTATAGCATTTTGAATGCAAAATTGATCAAATATATTTTTTTTATAAATCGTGTGTAAAGAGCGTATATTTTAGTCTCCAAAATCAAAATTAGCATACAGTTTCTTATTACTGAGATTACTTCGTGTATAATGTAATAAACTACTCAGTAGCACAGGAAATGTGAAACGTGATCTTTAAACTTTTATATTTGATTATTTATTTAAATATATCACTCATGTAAATTCAGTAAATTTTGCAGTTGACTTTAACTATATAAGTCGCCGGCGACGTAAGTGACGTTTGATTATGTTATTTTTTTTATCAGGTTTCCGAAACCAGGTTTATTTAACAGCAATTCACAAATTATAATATTTACCTATAATACTATTAAAAGGCTAAAATTCTCCGATCGGAATTTTTTTCACAATATATCACAATTAACTCTAACCATGAAATTGTAATTACTCTTTTCGATTTGATAAATAAGACTGTCTTTATTCGCGAATTCAATCGTTTGAAAATCCTCGTGCATACTTAAAGATAAGCGATCAAGACATCCAGTAACAAAATGGAAATTTGTAGTTACGTTTGATTACACAAAATTAATTTAATAGCCGATGCTTTTATAAAATTGTTTATTGACTTTATTTTTGGAAAGGTGTCGGTTCGGTTCAATAAAAATTAAATAATAGAAAGCCATAATCAATATGCACTTGTTATTTTATCTATAACGCTAGATTTTCTTCAGCTACGAGCATCATGTGTAATGTATTGATTCACGAGACAACAACATGTCATGCGAAAAGACTATGATAAGATGCAATCAGTTCTTCTGTGTATAAAATCAATTACAGTGATAAAATAAGTAAGTGACAGTAAATGCTGACAATTAATTATTATTTGGGCAATAACTCATTGATTAGTAAGAGTCGGAAAAAATAAATCTGACGTTTCTTATCAATTTTGCATTGATAAAATTTCTTTAAGATTTTTGTTAATGTTATAAAAACATTATTATATAAATAAAGAAAAACAACGAAAAAACGAAAATACCTCTCCCCCAGCCCCCATATGATATAGAAAAGTCAATTCTTCTATATTGACCTGCGTAACAACACATACATCGGTTTCCTTGTTGAATAAAAATGCACTAAACTTACATTGCATTTTGATTCAAACTGATATCAAAGAACTTGTATCTAAATCTTTACACAGTTTTTCTTTACATGCATGTAGATTATGACGAAATAAATGTTATTATAAAAGGTAAATCGACTTCAAAAACAAGAATTTTTTTATTATTAATAATTTTATTGGTAAAAATTTACGTTAATACCGCTTACCGCCGAATAACAAATGTACATTCAATCACAAACCTTAATTGTAAACTTATACAGTACTGTTAATAAACAAGGTTTAGTGTCAGAGAAATATAAGCTGAAATTGCAATTTTAGTATTAGTCCAAATTCTTATTATACAGAGAATTAACAAACCTTCTAGGAGTAAAAATATTACTCTGGCAGAACCCTATAGAACCTTTGCTAAGTGTATGTTTAATAATATGAATTTTGACTAATACTAAGTGCAGTCTCAGTGTAAATTTACTTCAACACTAAACCTTGACTAATCAAAGCCCTTCGTAACGAATAAGTTTGATATTGAATAATTGACATTCGCTCATATCCGATTTCGATAACATTCATATGGGACCACCTCGGGCGAATAAGCTTGCGCGTAAAAATTTTATAAATAGGTCTGTAATTCGCGCTAAAATTAGTAAACGTACATAAAAAGTTACATTATCCATCGAAGATAGAGAACCTAGTCCTAATAAAGTCGGTTAAAAATATAATTGTGGATCACACGAACTTGCCTTTAGTGAAGTTAGATTTAAATTATATGAGCAGCTACATTCGACACGATTTAAGCAAAACAAAACATGAGCAAAACATTTCCAGAAAGAAAACGCTTCACCGTGAACAATTTAGGGTACATCCAGAAAATTCCCTGACCGGTTTTGCCGTGGTTGAAATCGTAAAACGGCCTGCCCTCAGGGGACGAACTTCATCTATTTTCAAATTACCGGAGGCGAGGGTTAAAACATGCAGGGTCTTTTTAAATATGACTCACATTTCATTTCATTTCATTAGATAAAACTGTATTAATCCATCTATACTGAATATTCAGCAGTCTTACTAGTGGTTCCTAATCTTTTTCATTACTACAGGGCAATTCTGTAAAAATCCGAACCCAAATTCTAATTCATGTTTCCCAATTCACGTCATTCAGTGAATAAATTCTATTGATTCCATTTTTTGTATAAAAATACAAAATAAAATTGATAGAATATACGTGTCTTAGATATTCTATGTCATCATTACGAAACTCACTTCATTTATGCCACAAAACGTTATTACCAATTCAAGGTTAAGCGGATGCCGCTTTTTGAAGTGAACTCGGACACCTGAGTAAATTCGAATTTGGGTTCGGATTTTTACAAAATCGCGCGGCGGTGTACCCCTATGACCATTTATCAGGGAAACTGATTTCACCCCAACGCTTGAAGTAGCTTTTAAAGTGCCTCATTCAAAATTACAAGCAAATACAGATTTATTTATTAATAACTGATGGTTTTTATCATTTTCCATTCAGTAGTTTTTTAATGTTAGGTTTAGTGTCGACGAAGGAAAGGATCAAGGAAAACTTTGTCTTTGTACCAAATTTTATTAGAATCGGTTCTGTGTTTTAGGTGTAAAAGCGTAACAGGCAGAGTAACTTTTACATTTATAATATTTATAGGATAAGACAAAAAGTTAGAATATTTCGACAATAAAGAGATTGACAAAATAAAAACAGATAAAGCAATAATTGGAGAAGGGTGTGCCAAGTAATAAATACTTGTGCGTTTTACAAAAACACTGACGGCCAGGACTCCTACCCTCTTTAATTTGGTCCGATGTTTATTTATTTGCGCAAACAGCCGACAGGCCACTTCGTTTACGCATTCCACCCTTTTATATATGTTTTTTATTGCCCCACTCCTTTTGCTGAGTTCCCAGTTCCGTGATATTATGAGACCTGTTGCTGTGTGTGATCCTGACGACAGTTCCTTGTGTGGTTAAGTTCCAACTTTTAGTATTGTCATCGTAGTGTTTTCCGGTGGGCGTTTCTTGTCTGATATGAGTGTACACGTAACAATATGGAAATTTATACTGTAGTATTTTTTTTATTTTTTATTTAGGGCGAGTATTACCTTTATTTAAAACTAGTTTTTCGCTAGCGGTTTCACTCGAGTGGTTTTCCCGCTTTTGTAATATTTTGTAGCTCCACTTCTTTTAATCATAGCTAAATGTTCTATAGCCTATAAGGTTATAGGTTAGCTTTATAAATTGCCTATTACTTGGATTTCGGTAAAGTAGGATTTAAAATATCAATCCATAAAAGTGACACTACTCAAAATAAATACCATTGCATGGCGCAGTCTGGTATATATTCTGTGAGGTTCAATGCGGTGTAGTAAAGATTTTGGTAATAATTCAAATAAACATTGTCAATCCGATTGTTGTTACATTGGTTTAGTGTTTAAACATTGCGGACTGTAAACAATAGGCGTATAAGAGAAAGATACGTATAAACCTATAAACCACGCTAAACAAAGAACAACTAAAAAACCTGTTAATGGATAGTACAAATAAAAAAATGTATATAAAAAAACAATGAAAAAGGTTGCCTACAGCAACAGCGGTCTTATTACAGAACAAGGAACCATTTATATTAGTTATTTTGAATGATTGGTGTACATAATTATTGGTTTATGTTGTTGTGATGTGATATTTTATAGTTACAAATTAATTATTCAGTTAATTTCTACAGATTCACATTGCAAAAATACTCTTAATTTCATATAGTTGACAAGTACCATTGCGGAATCTTCAACTAATAAGCTAACTCTCCTAATATACCCTCGGTGAAGGTCAATCATCTAGTATTACAGTTATAAACATTTCGTTTCCACTGAAGCATTTGGTAACGTTATTAAAATCTTATGACTCTTGTTAGTGAGGTCGTAATACTCTCTGTGTTCACAGCCTCTTGCTTTCTTCCCCTCTCGGAATGATATTGAGATGATAATGGATGCTATAAACTTTATTGGCTCCATATCTCCGCATAACCGGGGGCGACAAAATTAGCTATCGTTTTGTGATCATTTGAATGAAATTATTTAAATGTTAGCTCTCTGGAACTTTTATTCGCTGGGACTCGTACATTTTACGATTACGTTTCGATGAGCTTTCTGTTACTAAACGAATTGCCAGTTGTAATATTACATTATTCATTTGTAATGGTTCAACCGGTTCAACTCCTGTTCCAGTGTTGGTTTCCTTAAATATTTTAATTCATCTTCATACCTTAGTAATAATATTTTTAATGACGGTAATATCGCTCGGAATTGCATTAATGTTTTGGTTTGTTTTCTTCAACGTTATTGAAGTTAGTATTAAAATTCTTTTCTATGTTTAAGTCTAACGTCGATTATCCAACTTCTTGAGTCGTAAACCGCGAAGTTTACCGAAGTGATTAGTTGCTTTTATCTAAATTAATTTTGAAATGTCGACAAATTTCGTGCCGACTTATAATAATATTTTATATAGACTAGATTAATTGATGATAATGTAGCTTTATATTGGTGAAATATTTTTTGGAACGATACACTATCTAGTTGAGTTTAGCAATTTTAAAACAAACGTTAAGTATATTGTATGTATGTATTAGTATATATCACTGAAATGATATAATGGAATAGATT